CTCACATAGAATTCTACAAAGGGCTCGACCCGTCATTTCAATTGAATCCGAGTGGGGCTTGATCCAGCTTCAAGCTATGGATCGATCCAGTTCTAATGGGCATGCATTACATAACCTCTAATGAATACCTGATACATGCTCGATCAAACTCCACTGCAATCTTAATCGGGCCCGGCAAAACTCTCAGAGAATCCTGCGAGGACTCGATCCAGGAGATCCGCGCAGTCCCCCGGGCCTCCAGGGGCACCGCGCACTGGGCTGCCGAGAGAACCATGGACTGGATGATGGCCCTGGACTTGTGCCTCCTGACCTGGTTATCCTCTGTGGCAGACCCGATGGGGGCACCGATCATGTCCTGGAAGCGCGCAGGGGCCCTCTTCCAGATACCGAGCTGCTCGGTGCCGCCTGCCCTAGACGATGGGCCAGCAGGCGTGGTTAACCTGGCCCCCAGCTGCGGCCCCCATCCTAGATGGCGTCGCACAGGCCGCGCGGGGCCGTCTGCATGGGTAGACGCAGCGCCTCGGCTGCAAGAGGAAAACAGCACACCGCTTTGAAATCGCCGCGGGCGCTCAGGCTTCAGCAATGCCGTACTCTAGCCTCGGGGCCCGGGTAGGCAGATCGCGGGCGCCCTGGGCGACAGCGCCCCATGGAAGAGTCGGCCCCTGGACTCGCCATCGCTCGGACGTCCATTCTCAGTGCGTTTTTCGATCTCGTGCGTGTTTTTTTGTTCGCTGGATGATCAAAGATGCTCCTCGATGGTCCTCGCCGAAGGAAAAATGGGGAGTGGAAGCCCATCGGGAGCGGGGCCGCTCAAGCAACGCCTGCGGCTGCCTGGCGGCGCACGGCTTGCGGGTCTCACCTGCGAGCCCGACGCGCGGCTGCGCCCGCGGGGCCTGGAAATCATGCTCGAGTGACGTAGTTTCAAGACAGGGCTCGGAGACCAGCAGGTAAGCAATGGCCCTCTTCCCGAACTGCCTCTGGGCACCTCATGGCAACACGAAAGCAGCCCCAAGATGCCCCTCGATCTCTGAGGCGCAGACCTGGTCGACTTCCACGTTCCAGTCGGCAGCCCAGATGAAGGGAACATCCAGGACTCTGATCTCGCAGGAGATTTCTTCAATCCATTCCATGCTCGAGCCCGCTAGGCCCTCTCCCTGAGCTACGTAGGCCGAGATGAAAAGGACGGTGGCCCCATGGATTCGGAGTTTCCTGGCGCCCGCTGCCCTTGCCCCCGGGCGGGAGAGGACCATTGCGACAGCCGACGGCGAAGAGGCCGAGAGGAGAGGCGGGCGGGTGGGTGGGTGGGGGGGGGCATGACCCAGACGCCTCCGCGGGTTGGGTGGCACCCTGCGCCCGCGGCAGGGGCCTCGCGCCCTTCCACCTGCCACTGCTCTTGTCGCAGGCGTCGCGCGACTGCCTGGCACTGCGGTCCTCGGGGGTGCACCTCGGCCCCCCTCCGCGCGTAGGTGTCCCGGGCACTGCTGGCCAGGCTCGCCCCGCTTGGTGCAGCTGCGGAAGCAGCAGAGGCCGACGTCCGTCCCCTTCTGGTCGCGCGTAGGTTTGCTGGATTTCCTCCGCGGGCCTGGCGGAGGGGCCGCGGGGCGCGGCGGCGCATTCCTGGCCATCCCTCGGACGTCCATTCCCTGTGTTTTTTTCGGCTTCGTGCGTGGCTTTTCCGCCAAACGATCAAGGATGCTCCTCGATGGCCCTCGCCGAGGGAAAATGCACACGTCCGAGCGATGCCAAGGGCCTGGGCCTGCTGGATCGGAGGGGCGAGCTCTGCGCCACCAGGTGCACTCTGCGCGCGCGTGCCCGATGGCCCCCCCCCCACACTGGGGCTCCCCCGGGCGCTCCAGCTCCCCGTGGAGACGCAAGGCCTGGGGCGTTGCCCTCAGTGGGGGGCGTCCTCGGGGCTTTGCGTCCTAGCGCCTCCAGCTGCACGTGCCGGCTGCGCGCCTGAGACGTTCCCCTCCGCGGGGGCCCCCTCCTC